TTTTGAATTATTCAAATCGGACGCTCCGTTCTCTTAAAAATTTTGATCTTGTTAATACAAGTAAAATGTTTTTTGAATTATTCAAATCGGATGCGCCGTTCTCTTAAAAACGGAGTTACCGTTTTTGGCACTTTTTGCCCGTATCTTCGGAAGGGCTAGACCTGCCTTAGCCAAAAACTAATCAGCACGTCTCCTTATCAATACAAATCGAATGTTTTTTGAATTATTGAAATCGGTTGATCGGTGTTCCCGAAATCGTCGACGAAAATTTGTATCCGCACACACACACACACGCACACACACAAACATCCACTTTTTCTAATGTATGTCAAAATATTCAGAAACCTTTGAAACGTAAAGATATATAAAAATTTTCATTTTCGATGTTTTTGCGACTACTATAACTTACCCTACGGGAAGTTAACTAGTGATACATGGCATAGTGCCTTAGGGCAAATTGCTGGAACTTTCCATATCGTAATTTATCATTTTTAAAGGCTTGGAAGTATTGGAAATTAAAAAAAATAGATTAGAGAATTTTAAATTTTTTGAATATGTTGATTTTTCTTCAAAACAACTGCCCTGCTTAGCTCTTTTAAGACGAAATATCAAAGCGCGTAAGGAACCCATTTAGAAATGTAAACATAATTCGTACTTATTATTCAAATCTCTATAAAATACCTGTAATTTCTATTAAGCTCGATGCAATAGGGTTAAGCGGGACACAAAGGTGCAATTTGACTTCGAGCAATTATATTGAAAACCAAACCAATTGTATCACAACAAATAACACATATCACACAAACAACTATCTGACTATGTTCAGTAAAACTCTCAGCTAATTCATCATTGTAAAAATGTATTTTATTGCTGTTTTTCTTCATTAAATTTGTCACCTGGTTCTTTTTATCCCATAGTCGGAGTAAAATGACAGCTAAAAGTACAATGCCTTCTTTTTAATTTTGAAAGGATTTTATGAAATATTAGCTACATTATTCAACCAATGCGAAATATAAATTTTTCAGGTACATTTTTTACAGGAACGACACTGTATATAACCTTGATCTGGTATTTCATTAGAAATACCCATCAGCTAAGTTGGAACAACTTTTTATCCAATCCATCTCCTGTAAAATTGTTCTCCAACTTATAATAACTCTTTCACTTACTATTTTCTGATGTACACACCTTTGCTAGGGCTAACATCTAATAATTGAATATGACCATTTTTGACCGCCAAATGGTAGTTGCTTTTAATTTTTGTATTGGATCTTAGAAATCGCTGGACGTGCTTTCCCAAAAATTGTATCAACATTTCATCTCGCCAATACAAAAAAAAATTTTTTTGAATCATTGAAATCCGGTGCTTCTTACTCTCAAAAACGGAATCAAATATTTTTTTAATTATTCGAATCGGTTGATCCATGTTCCCAAAATTTTCGACAAAAATTTGTATCCGCACACACATGAACACACACACATACATCAATCTTTTCTAAGGTATGCCAAAATTTTTAGAAACCTTTGAAAAATATGAATGTAGTGGTACATGGTATCGTGCCTAAGAAAAATTGCTGGAACTTCCCGTACCAATAATATTTTTTTTAAAAAAGATTCAATTTTCTTTAAAACATTGATAAAAATGATTTTTGAGAATTTTGAAATTTTTGAAGCAAACTGACTTTGAAAATTTTTTTTTTTTTATATTTTGAAATATTTTCGAAATTTTTAACTTTTTTGCAATGCCATGAGCCCCACTAGTTTAATCATTCAAATCGGACGCTCCGTTATCTCAAAAACTGAATTGGTATTTATGGCACTGTTAAACGACTGGACCTGCCTTTGCAAAACACTAATAAGCAAGCCTCCCTGTCAACACAAATCGAATCAGTTGATCCGTGTTCAGAAAATCGTGAACGAAAATTTGTATCCGAACATAAGGTATATTTTAAGGTATACCAAAATGTTCAAAAAATTCAGATTTTTTTAAGATTACTATAACTTACCCTACGGATAGTTAAAAAAAATCTCACATAGGCACTTTATAGTTGAATAAAAATGTCACAATGTCACAAAAAAATATTGCACAAAACAAATAAAAATAGAACCAAAAATTGACAATTCAATTTAATAACTAAGTTTGCGTGAAGTCTCTAAAGTACGAGTATTGTACAATAACACTTTACATTTGTAGAGTTATATGGTTGTATGTCTGAAGCAAACATGTTTAACTTTGATGTCATATAAGTTACCTTACTGAGAGAGTAGTTAGTTGCAGTCGATGGTAATATTTATGAAACAACCCAATTAAAAAATCATGTAATCTATGGTCAAAATGATTTATACAATTAAACGCAAAAACAGACTTAATAATAGTCACTGCTACAGTGCTTCACTAGTCCAACGTGAATTGAATTTAGTCCGCAAAGAATAAATTGCATTTAATTATAATAATGATATAGTTTTAGATTTATCAATCTCAAATAGAACAATGAGCTGACATATGCAACATGTATCACGTTAAAATTTTAAACGTTGGTTTCGCAAATTCTGAGATCGGAAAATTAATATTTGATATAGGTTATCCACAAGGTTATTAAGGTTATAGATAATATAAGAGAAGTATTTTTCAATAACTTACCATAGGAAAAGTAATCACAAAAAATTGAAAATAAAAATATTTATTTATAATTCACATTTCAAGTCTTCTGAACATTTTGGCATACTTTAGAAAAAAATACGTGTGTGTGTATGTGCGGACACAAATGTTTGTCGGCAATTTCGTGAACATGGATCAACCGATTTGAATAATTCAAAAAGCATTCGATTCGTATTGATTTGGAAACAAACTGATTTTGGCAAGGACAGGTCCAGCCGTTTCAAAGATACAGGGCAAAAAGTGCCAAATATCAATCCAAATAGTAATTCAGTTGTTGAGATGACGAGGCGTCCGATTTGAATAATTCTAAAAACATTTTATTTGTCTTAACGCAATGAACAACTGATTAACTGATTTTTGCGAAAGCAGATCTGGCGGTTTCGGTGATCTAATGAAAAAAGTACAAGGAAGTAACATTTGGCAAGCAAAAATAATTATTTGACTTATGCATTATCAGATATTTATGCATTATCACTTATGCATTATCAGATATTTTATAGAGATTTTGATAATAGGTACAAATTTTACATTTTTATGGGTTCCGTACCTATGTTTATACGCTAGACAACGACGCAGCGCGATTGCTTTGAAAAAAAAGAGTTTTCTCAAAAAGATTAAAGCTTTTTTAAAAAATTTAAGTTTCGGTACAGAAAGTTGCAGCAATTTACCTTAAGGCACTATGTCATGCACCACTAGTTCATTTTATTATAATTTTATTCTAATTATAGAAAATCATTTACATTTTCACTCTGCTGGCTTACGTTTTCTCCTTTATTAAAAAAAAAATTTAAATTTTCAAGATAGTTGAATCCTCCCATAACTAATTAGAGAAAAAATGTAAGAAAGAGAATTATTTTCACCGCATGGATCAGAAATCATTTAATTGATCATTTACGAGATAACATATAAATCACTAGAGTCATAAAGAGCGTTTATGTATGGGAAGCTCCAATGAATGAACAAGATAAGATTTTACTATTACTATTAAAATGAAATGCAATACACGACCTATATTCGGTCTTAGTTATTTAGCTCGACCATTAGAAAAAAAATAGTATTATTATCCTATGTGCTGTTAGTTATGCCTGTTCTTTTAAGAAATTATAATTTGCAAATTTGCTCACATAGATTCTAGTACAGTTAAGTTAAACGAAAAAAGCAAAAATCATTGTTTTCTGGAAACAATGATTCAACATCTTCTTTTGGCATACATTCGAAAAATGTATGTAAATGTTAAAAAGATTATTGACAGTGCGCAAAGCAATTTGGATTTCTGTGACGATAAGTTCAGACATTTGTAGAAGATAAATCAGAATTTTTGTAATACATATATATTATTTGTTTAACTTTAGGTTGTGTATAAAAAATGTGAATTTACAAATTTATTATAGGAAACACATTGAACATTTGTAAGACTCACAACAAAAATTTCAACGAGTAAAATTTCCAAATTTTTGGCTGAATAAAAGGTCAATTTCATTTCTTACCAAATTAGGGTCTATATTAAATTTAGTATTCTGTTTTTTTTTTCTATGTACTGCTTGTGTGAATTGAGAAATTCGGTAATTATGCAAGAATCGATCCATAATTGGACCTAGTTTTATCGATAGTTGATTTGAAAAGGTTTCAGCGGATTGCCCCGGATAAATTCAACCTTTTCAATGATCTCAGAAAAATTCTGATCAATTTCAATAAAAGATGTTCACAAAAAAGACGATAATTGATCAGTTATCGAGCTAGATGAAAAATGATTCGACTACGGAATTGCAAAATAGAGATTTGTGGTAGCAGGGTAAAAATTTAGAGCTGTGTTTATTTTCAATTCTAAATTAAAAAAAGTAAAATAAAATGTTAAAAAAAAATTAAAGACTATGTTAAGGGTGGACAATCCTTGATAAAAATTTAAGTTTTTTCATAAGTTTAAGAAAATCCTAACCAAATTTCAGTGAAAAACATGCATTGACTGAAAGCGAGAAATTATTCCATTACTAAGCTGATTATTACGAAATATGGGTTTATCGTAAAAGAGTAAAAATTCTGGTCTGTGTGTATTTTTTTTAGTAACGAATAATATAAAAATAAAATGAAATAAATTGGTCAAAAAATAAACAAAATCTTAAGGGTAGCAAACCCTTACCACTTAGGGCTATAGAAAATAGATGTTGGTCAATGCTCAGTCATGGAGAACGTAATTACAAAATTTATAGAAATCGGTCAAGCCGTTTCGGAGGAGTATTGCGACAAACATAACACAAAATTCTATACATATATATATATATATATATATATGTGTGTGTGTGTGTGTGTGTGTGTGTGTATAATATTAAAATACCTAACTCACCTGAAATAAGTGTGTACACAGCTCAACAGTTCAAAAGCCAAATGCTGGCGTGCACGGCTTAAATAGCCCAATTTGTATTTTAAATTTTTAGTACTTCAGTCTACGTTATTATTTCTCGAGGTGTCTCGACATCTTTTCTTCTAATTTTCGTCCATCTAGAAGCCGCCATATTCAGGAAAAGCTGAAATTGGAAAATATCATTATATATGCTTCATAAAATCAAATCATACAAGAAAAGATCAAGTGTAACAACCGTGAACACCCCCAAGACAGTTGTGACAGACATAAACATAGGTACAATAGGTATAAACACCAAAATTGTTTATAAGGACTTTTATTACCAGAAATATGTAACACAACAATCTTCTATAAAAAGCTTATGAATATAATATAACAATATATAGCAAAACAATTTTTTAAACAAAGTTAACAAGAGTACTGTGTGATTTTTTCTTATATTCAATTTTCCTTTCCCTTTCTCTGTCGCATTCTGTCTTAGTTATGTTCGATTTTTCTTCAAAACAAAACTAATTACTGGTAATTAACTACTAATTTTCAGCTTACAGCAAAATTACAGACAAGGTGATTTGTCTATATACGAGTAATTGTCTTTATTAAAAGAAATCGAAAGAAAAAACTTACGTTTGACTCTTTAAAAGCAATGCGGTCTACAGATAGTATTAATGTAGGTTACTGACTGAATGCAATAATGAAAACTTGTTCGAACAAACATACTTCATCTTTCTCGCTTTGGACCCTATATCCAAATCAGTATAATTTAGCTCTTATGACGACTGTCACTACCATACCCTGGCACAACCGTACCCATTCTCCCCTACATCACGTTAAGAAGAATTCCTTTAGTACGAAATCTGAACCAATAGAAGTCTCTTGGCTTGGTATTTTGGTAGATTTCAATTGGCCATTTTGTGTTTAATCTTTCTGTTCAGCATACTATTGCTTGGAAGAATTAGTATAGTTTCTTATCTTTTTCATGATAATTAATACTCTTTTCTTTAATGTTGCTTTTTACTTATTTAATATTGAGATCTCTGAGAAAGTTTTCATTGATCACTTACTATTGGGCAATACAATAATTCTTAGTAAATTAGATCGATTCACTTGAACAAATTTATTGGTCGTTCAAACTATAAATTACAGTTTTCAATTGATTTATTAGCGAGAATTTTTTACACTAGCAAATCCGACGAACTCCGTTTCGCCACCTGATGGTTTCGTGAGAAAGATGAAGAAATTGTTTGTTTGTTTTATATTTGAAAAAGAAAAATGTGATTTTATTATACAATAGTAATAAATTTATTTCGATTACAAAAATGAAGTGTTTTTTAGTTGAACTTCTCTAAGTAAATGAAAGTGAATCGGCAATTATCTTAGAAGTGCTCTTTGGTAAACCACATTTTTTGTTTTTTGGTCTGACGTTACCACAAACTAAGCGGATGGTTTTCCAACTCGTGAACAGGCAACGTATAACTGCCCATGTGAAAAACAATAATATTTCAAATAATCTATTTGATATTTATCCCGCAAACACTAAGCGATTGGCCTTGCGACTTGTTATTGCGAACGCAAGGCGAACTGGAAATTGCAATCGTTTGAAGTCAAACGGAAGACCAGTCGGAATCATTGGTATGTCACCAAATCGCCAGCAATTTTTGATTGAATGGTGAAATTCAGTGCGTGTATATCATTATTCTTTGCGGCAAGAATTGCTCGTTGACTTAACCAAGCATAATTCTGATAATTCTCACTAATGTCATTACTCGAATTTTTAATTACGGTGCGTGAAGTTCCAGCAGCTTGCATTAAGGCACGATGCCATGCACAACTAATTTTCTAAGCTATAAACCTTGCGGAGCCCGAGACTTTACCAACGAATGCAAAATTATCGAAATCAGTTTGTGCGTTCTGGAGTTATTTCGTCAGGAAAGAAAACCAGACTTATTTTTATATATATAGAAGATATGTGTGTGTAATCATTTATAATTATGTAAGTTTATAATTAATATTTGTGTCTTCTATAAACTTGAGATTTTAGACATACAAATTGGGTTGCATGTTGCCATGTTTCATTGTAACAACAACTAGAAGTATTACAAATTTAATATAAAAACCGTTCGGTTTCTGTCTCGCGCTAATTAATTTTGCATTAAGATTAGTCCAGATTGCTTCGTGATTAATGCAAATCCTTAAAGTAAAAAATACTGAAATATCCGAGCCGTGTTCGTTCACTTCAGAGATTTTCGCATATACACCTTTCGATTTAAATCAAATGCTAATTACCATGTGGATTACTTGATATAAAGTTAATGTTCACTCTGCTTATTTAATTTGCATCAACATATGGTGTAAAGATAGTAAGAAAACAATTTTAACGTTTTGTGTTACTATGAAATAACAAAATTGTAAAAATCTTAATATATATTATTGCTGTAATTTTTTTTTTCACTCAGAACACAGCGAAGAAATAGCAATTGCAATATTTATTGATTATTGCCAAATGACTAACCATCTGAGAAAATGAAAATTTTATTTAGTTAGCAGGTATGGTAAATATTAAATATAAGTTTGGCTACTTCACTATATAATACATTTATTAATTTTTAAACGTTGTTTGCTGCTATTATGTACAATTATAGTATATATTTCAGTCTGAATAGCTACTTTTATTTATTATTTTCTTTTTCTGAACTATAGACCTTTTTTTATAAAAAATATTATATATGTATCCTTCATTTATCAAAATTGTCAACGTTTTGAAAATGTGCAGAATTTGAATTACTGAAATCTCGGTTTGGTAGACGTTACAACAAGCCCCCAACACAGATTAAGTTGTGACACCGCACTTTAGCTAGGAAATGGCCAAGGTGAGATAACGAACAATAATTTCGGAATCATTTTTACTTGATTTTGTAGAGGAATAGTTGCAGCAACTATCCATCTTTATTTCGCAAAAATATAATCAGTGAATCTAGCAAGATATATTAATCCAAAAAAAACTGTTACAACCAGCCTAAAGGCTACTTGAGATCTAGAAACATATATTCGTAAAATGATTAAAAAAGCAGTTGCATACATCATAAAAATATAAAAATCATATCCAAATCAAGGTAAAAACACATTAACTAATGGCATCGTGCCTTAAGGCAAGTTGCTGGAACACCCCATACCGTAACTAAATGTTCGAGGAATATTAAAAGTTTTCAAATAGATTATTATAAATACTGTAACATTGTCTAATATTTATGAAAATCATATAAACTGAATTACAAAGTTAAAATTATATATTTAAAGTGTATAAGTGAGCTTTAGAACTTTAGCCAGAATTAAAATTAAAAACTGTATTAGTTTCGATATACAAAAAAAATGAAATAGAAGAAACTTTTTTTTTTTCTATATTTCCTATTGTTTTGTCAATACAAGCTGAAAGTTTTTTGAATCATTCAAATCGGATGCTAGTTCTCTGAAAAAGTGGCATTTTTTGCACATTTAGCTATGTATCTTCGAAATGGTTACACCTGCCTTTGCCGAAAACTTATCAGCACTTCTGCCAATTGTTACAAATTGAATGTTTTATGGATCATTCAAATCGGATACTCCGTTCTCAAAAACTCGATTTTATATTTTCTTCATTCTTTGCTCCGTATCTCTGTAACGGCTGGACCTGCCTTAGCCGAAAACTAATCAGCACATCTCCATATCAATAGAAATCAAACGAGTTTGAACCAATTAAATCGGTTGATTCGTGCGCCCGTAAACGTGGATGAAAAAATGCGGACACACAAAACACGTACATACACACATCCATATTTTGCGGTGTGCCAAAATGTTTAGAAACCTTTTAAACGTGAAGATAATCAAAAATTTCATTTACTTCTTATTCTACGGGAAGATGAAAGTGTTTATAAAAAAAGAAACAGTAGTAATAATATTCCATTTTAGGTATATTAGCACTTCAAAATTAAGAAGTTCTGTTATTTTATTGAAAATCAGATTATGCACACAGCAACTAATTAAAATAGCATATCTATCAAAATGTTTTAATTAAAAAATATTGCATATGAACTGTAGATTTCATTACACAATTTTCAGTAATATAAAGTACCTGAAGCTTTTCATCGGCCACTATTTATTAACTTATGCACATATATGAAGAATTCAATTTCATTTTAGTCGTGGCTGCTTTTCAAATTTTCTCCGTGTTATCCTCACCTACATCTTAGAGCACTTTATTTCAGAAACCACTAAGTAAACTATTTCGAAGTGAAGAGTCGTGAATATTCATTTCATTCAAATCTATAAAAACCGTTTTCTACACTCCATAAATAAAGTACACAAAACTACTAGTGCCGTTATTATTACGCTCTGATAATTTACTATTTTCACCACTCAAACACCGCGCCTTATCATACTCGAGCACCATTTTTTATGCTAAATTATTCTAATTAACACTCATTACTAAACAAAACGACCAATTGGTTGCTATTTAAGATGTAGTTCATGTTTCTACTTAATAAAATCAACATCAGTTTCAAAAAGTACTAATTCATGAGGTGCACACACAGCAATAATAATCATTTGGATTAAAAACAACAATTCATTAGAGAATAGCGATACAGATTGACCTACATATATACACAAAACAAATCTTAAATGCTAATTTATTGAATAGTAGTTCCGAACGTAGATGTGGTCTCAAAGTTTGATATTTTTGAATTAACTATATCAATTACAATTTATTCCATCCAGAATTACTGGTAATTGATTAAGTAAGCTATAATATGAGTACATTATGAGCAAACATCCCGTGCAGAAACTTATATTAAAGCTAATGTTTTCACTCTAGTGTGAAGCGGGGCTTAAAGGTCTGCGGGTAGAACAATCAACCAACAAGACCCCATAAAAAAGTGAAGCTAAAAAATTTTTTAAGAGCAATATTTGAGAGTAAAAGATGTATAATCAGTCATCACTTTGATTCTTACGACGTCGCTATCAGGAGATAAAAAACCATGTTTTAAAATCTAAAACAAAAGTTTCATTTTTCGTTGTTGTTTTTTTTTCTGTTTGAGCTTTGTTGTTTGTTTACGAGATTTTAATATAATTTTGAAGTATACGTTATTTAATCGTTTTAAAAGACGTATAATTTTAAGCTAGATTATACTT